GCTCGATAGGATTTAAGGCCTCGGTCGGTTACTCATCGGGCTTAGAACTCGGGATAGATATTACTTCTATATTGGGCTTAGGCTTTGGTTGAGGTTGTGTTTGAGGCAGAGTATTTGGCATAGCTGCTGGAAGACGAGGACTAGAATGCCTTATTAATGTTTCTACTGCCATTACCTACTTAACCCGCTCTTTACCCCGGGAGTTTTCCGGAGATAGTTCTCGGTGAGTATCTAGTGATGGTTCTAGATGAATTTCTGGTGGCCGTGTTTGGTGAGTTTGTGGCGATAGTGCTACAAGAGGTTTATCTTCAGTATCTAATGATGAAAGTTAATAAACGAATATGTCAGCCGGATTCCCTTAGATATACTATCTTAAATACTCTTATCTGGCTTATTTGATTCCTCCTCCTCCGGTCTCCTCTCCGCAATACAGGTCTTTAGAAACTTGCGAACTGACCGAACGTGCGGAATAAGCTTATTCGAATTCTTAACGTCGAAAACGCGTAGGTCCTTAGCGGTAACCCAGCCCACTGCGCTCTTGGCCGGAAAGTTATAGCTATCAAAGTATATAATAGGAAATTCGCGCTCTATGACTATCTCTTGTCCCTCATTATACCCTTCCCGCTAGATATAGCGTTTTGTCGGTTTGTCGTATTCGTAATAGAGTGGCATAACCTTAGCTAGTCGGAGCGTCTTAAGAGTACCGCTTACTCTGATCTCTTTGAGATCTTGCATCGGGAGGATAAGCACGGCTAGCTACTCCTTTGACTTTTCCCAGAAGGCGAGGTATACTTCGCCTGGGTCTGGATCAGTAATGCCCTTAAAGTCTTACTTTTGAGTTGGTTTGTCGTTACTATGGCGCCTGTGGCTACGTCGGGTTTGTCTACGAGGTGGTGGGCTCTTGGGGGTATTCTTTTCGTGAGGTATTTGGCTAGCTAGCTGCTCGGATCGTCTAGGCCTGCCGACTCTCCGGCGCTTTGGAGGCTCTAAAACATCCGGCTGGTCGATTTTCCGCTTATTCTATAGCCATTAGTTATGGTTAGGTTAGGTTAGATAACCTCGGAAGACTTACTACCTGACCGTTTGTGTCTTTGTTTATATTACCCGTCCTAAAAGAAGATGGATGCAGCTAGGCAGAATTAGTTATTATACTAATGTCTTGTTGAGAAGCCTCGCGATTTGAAAGTACCCGTAACGTCGATTCTACCCGATGAGGCTCTATGACGCTAATAAGATCCCGGTAGAGGGCACCTATGGTGTCCTGGAGCCGCTCTTGGTATTTCTCTTCTTTAGCCTCAAGTCCTGCTTTGTAGTCGATCTCTAGCTCTTTTAACTGACCGCCGAGTCTAATAATCTTATCCTAAAGGATAGAAATACTTGACGCTGGGGCCGAAGCTAGCTAGGTCTATGCCTAGCTAATGCGAGATTAAATAGAAGATGCTCTCTCGTCGTAAACTATCTAAGGTGATTTAATCTTCTTAAACTACTAATCGTACTCTATGAGCTTTATCCTAATATCCTGGAACTTGGCGAGAATCTCTTAAGCCGATATTATACGACTTGCCTAAGGTTATGTTTAGTGGGGGCGCGACGTGATAGTGTGCGGCGTAGGGCTCTGATGATCTGCCTTAGCGGGGACGGCCACTATTTCCAAACGCTAATAAACCTAATAGAATAGATACTAGTTAGTTAGGGTTTCGGGTAATGCTAGACGCATATACGAGAGTAAAACGAGTTATAAGCTTTAAGGCAGAATCGGTCGACACGAAAAATACCTAACCCCCCTTTCTGGTGGCAACTATTGGTTTCATTGCATCTCGAGGGCCTAATAACAGTCCATCGAGGCTCCCAAGTCATATGACCTAGCCAACCAACCAATTAACAGGGTCTGCCCCGGCAAAAAGCAATATGACGGCCTGAGGCTGCTCCGGAGCTATGGCAGTTAGACTGAGATAATTCCACCTGGGGCTATAAAGCCGCCTATGACATACGCTATATTAAGATTCCATTATCCTTATGGCTCCTATGGGTTCGATAGTGATATATAATAATTCTTAATTCTTAACAATATAAGTTATCGTTTTTATTATTAAGGAAACATCGGCTTATATTACCCTAACTTAACCAGCGGACGACTAAACCATATACACCAGCTGATCTTCTTAATACATAAGTTTTTAGGGAAGTACAGGCAAAATCGAAAAGCTAGTCTTAGCTATGACGCTATGTAATATGACTACTTTGGGTCCTGGAGCCACGGCGCCGTCACGTTGTCTTCGGCGCACGATGACTCCTCACCGCCTCGCCATATCCGCTCTGCTTTAGCATGTAAGCGATGGTCCCCAGACACCTCCTGCGCGAGCAGGATGTATTCTTCTTTGTGGATAATGACCAAGTGAGAATGAGCCAAGCACTAAGACTCTGGTTTCCACTTAATCAAATGTCCCAGGCTGCGGCCCAAAAATCTCTCCTTCAGCCAACTTCAGCCGTGTATAGGCATTTACTTCGCACCCTCCTTTAGTTCTGTACCCTTAATGAACACCCAACTCGTTGTAATGTCTACAGGCACGCTATGAGATATGGCCTTGTCGCCTAGCCATCGCCGCAGCACTTTAACTATCATATCATAACGTCGTGAGTCGCGAGATTTATATTGCCTAAAAACTATCGGCTCGAATCCTTTATATAAGCGCTCTATCTCTTTTATAGTATAAGGCTAATCGCCCGGTTTAATCTTTGCTTCTTTGCCCTAGTAGTGCTATTAATCAGCAGTCCTAGCTTACTAAGGATCCAGTTTATATTAATAGCTAAATAAATTAAGTTAGCTTAGTAAAGAAAGAATCTATAAAAAGTACTATAGACCGCTTACTATATTAATATTATTAATAATCGCAGGAAATAAAGTAATATCCTCGCCTATCTTAATATTAATAAATAAAGTAATTTCTATATTAGACCTAGTAGTGCTATTATTCTCTAATTAAATTATATTATTTAGATCGCTATAGAGTATTATCTTATTAGCTACTTACCTTAGAGTTAGAGGCTAATATAGGGCTAAATATTACTTATAAGTAACTAAGCTATTAACCTAGCCTCTCGATCTTTTTTCTTAGATCCTAATTAATATTATTAACCTAAGTAGAGAATTAATACTAATTCTAGTTTAGCTACTCTAATTAGGTATTAATATTATTAATAATATCTAAGATTATAGCTCTAGTATTAATAAATAGGAGGTTATAATAATAACTAAACTTATTAGTAAACCCTTAGAGATATTAAATTATAATATTAAAGTTAAGTATTAGGAGGTAAACCGGCATTTTATCTATAATAGCGGCATAAGTTTATTCGAATATATATAGAGAGGTAATTAAAAAAGTCTTAATAAGTAATAAAAGCAAAAAAAGACATAATAATCTAATATATAGAAAGGTAATAATTAGCTAAAACGCGCCTAGAATAATTAAGTATTAATTTATAGTTAATATAAGAAGAGCTATAATACATAGTTAAAAGTAGAAATATAAATAAGAAAATAGAGTATATCATTATTACATTAATTAATAACGAAAAACATAGGGCTCACGCGTAATTATATATAACTATTAACTAATTAGCGCCTACTATATATTATAATCAGGGGTTAGCTAACCTAAGGTTTTTTTATATAGGTATTTAGCGCGGCGCTAATAACTCGCCTATTAACCCTTTTTTTTTATAGCTAACCTAAGGTTTCTAAAAAACTACTTTCTTATCGTCGCAAGAGGCTAAAAGTTAATAATAATATAAAAGATATTATAATCGGCTAATTCTAATTAATATTAATATCTAGAATATACTTTATTCTCGAGATATTAGCTTAACCCTAAGATTTAGAGTTATTTTAAGGCGGTTTATCCCTATCATAATTATGCCTTATTTATCCTAGCTTAAAAACCCTAGCCACTAAATCCGCGTATAAAAGCATAGTCAGGTTAGCGAGGTCCCATAGGACTCGGTGAAATCATAGACTCAGTAAAAAATCGATATTTAAATCCACTAAAAATCAGAAAAAGTTTATTTTATATAAAAAAAATAATTTTTAGGTAGTTAAAAGATAGAATTTGCTGAGGAAATCTAATTCTGGCTCTATACTCCGTAGTATCCCCCCGCCAGGTCACAGCAGGGGGGTATAGCTAATTAAAATACATTAGATCAACGGTACCTAATCCCCCCTTTATTTTAGACTATAATAGAAGTACTAGTAATCTCTCGAGTTATAAATTAGTATATCACACTGCTCATATCCTCGAATTAATTGACGGATATCTATGATATATCTATAATAGTCTAAGGGATTAGTATGGTCTCTAGGGTCTCTAGGATTCAATGATGGGTTTACGGAGAGTAGGGTATCGGATTTCGCTTATATTCGTGAGGACTCAGCCAATAAGGTCGCGCCTTAGACGAACAGCACCCATATCAATTTCCAGGAACTAGTACGCATCGGCGTGTTGAGTACGGAAGGTACGCGGGCAGGTCTCGCATTCCGGCCAGTGGTCATAGTTGTCCATGTGGTCCTCGACATCGTCTCTGCTGTAAAAGATGTCCGTACAAGTCTCGCACTCGTACATCCTGGCTGCTGGGACCAGAAAATGGCATCCACTTGGTGTGGGTCGAGCGGTGGATTTGGATCGTGACAAGGTTGGGAGAGGAGCGTGCGGAGAAGCTAGGCGTGGACGGGGCAGCTGGAGGCTGTCAGCTTGCGACGTTCGGAATTTCTACTGGTAATCAAGCGGGCGTAACGTGGGTTTATGTTAACAGACGGGGTAGGGCGATGTGGCTGAGCCTGCGTAGTAGGGTCACGATCGTAGACAAGTCGCCTGGGAACTAGAGCAGAGCTACTGTAGGGGAGGTTTGAGTGGGCATATATGAGCTGAATCACTTGGGATCAACCCGTGATCCCGGGGCTCATGTGCTTACACACGTGACCGGCCTGGCCCAAAGTGGTCGCCATGGGCCAGTGTGACCCGTTGAAAGGCGCCGGGCGTCTCGGCTGTAACACAGCTCGATGCCCGATGTAGCTATGATAGCCAAATAAGGCAGTCGGCTCAGAACCTCCCTATATCGTCGTACTAGCTTAACACATGTACTTGACTTAATAGGGTGCACACCTGCATTGCTGCCTGAGGATGGAATGCAAAGGGTGCTCTGGGATCGAGGACTTTGCGTACCGAGCCTCCATCGAAGCTGTCTTCGGGGCCGTTTGACCGTCAGTCGTCCTCTCCAATCATACAGCATGGCTTTTAACTTGCAGAAGTTTCATCGGCCCTGTGACATTGGCTTTCGCGTTGAGGTGCACGACAATCATCGCCTCCGAAACTGTACATTCGATGAGTATGGAAACATGAGAGCGCGCAATCCTCTGCGCCCTGGTGACGCCCAAGCGTGCCGTGACCACCTCAAGTGGCCGCGACTGGAAGGAGGACCATTTGTCTCGTTCTTTACCAGTTGGAATGCAGCCCTGCGGCGGCGGCAGTGGATGATAGAACGGGGTGCTACCGAAGTTGTTATTGTCGCCGTTTGGTTGAAGGATTTGCCCGGAATCTACGATGCCTTCGCCATAGCCCGCGTTCTTGGCCTCGAAAAACTCGACCTATTTCTATACGAAGTGTTGATCCACGGGGGAATATCTGCCGACAGCTACAGAATATTGGCTATGTTTCATGGTATACAGTCGACTGTGGACGTGGCACTCTGTGTTGCTAGGATGACCATGATGGCCGAGGTGCCGGGAGACTTCATTGCTGGAGTCCAAGTCAGGACACCCATTTGTACCCGGCAACTACCCGACCTTACCGTCAGACTTCGAGACGAAATATACATGCACGCTGGGAAAAGGGACGACGCTAAATTTTTTCCGTTAATCCTGTCCATGGCCGACCTCGCATATTTGTGCGAGTCAAATGCAGCCGGCACGGTGATTACCTGCCCGTCTGCAGGTTTAGGATGGCGCATTGAGGCCGTCGTACAGTAGCGCAGCTGAGAATACATGAGATTGTCTCATAAACATTGGTTGTACCTGCTGGGACATCAGAACTCCTTATAGATTGGACGTTATGATTTTCATAGAGGTAATATTAACTATCTAAGCTACCTTCTCCGAGGGGGAACGAAGAGCGCCGGAGAGCTCATTGAGCTGGGCACCTACGACATACGAGGACTTTGACCGATCACCATGCGTGCTTTGAGGGGGAAGGCAACGACCACGAGGACGGCCACGGCGGCAGCAGGTTGAGGGGGATGACGAGCACGACAAGTTTGCGACTAGAAGAGACCGGGCGGAATCATCATCGGATGAGTCGGGGACGCACCCTCCCGACACCCCCAGTCCTTCTGAGCGGCGTAGAGGGCGTAGAGGGCGTGGAGGGCGAGGGCAACGAGGACAAGGCAGCGAAAAAGAGCCCCGAAGGAGTCAACGAATACTAGCACGCCGACCACACGAAGGAGCTGCCCAAGACCGATAGTACTGTACTCAAGCATGCCTGCTCGAGCTGGTCAGAGGAGGCCCTCTCGATCCGAGATGCCCCAATGTAGAATCTCACAAAGGCCCCGACAGTGGACGTCACAGCAGATCTCGTGGCAGAACCCGAGGCTGCACTCACAGAGGCCATCCGGTCAACCATTCCACGTGGCTGGCCCCTCATACATAAGCAGCTGCGGCAGTCATTGGATGCTGGGATCATGAAGCTGGGAAAACACGGTGCGCGAGGGGCTCTGTTTAAGGTGACGCTTCTTGCGTACGGTTACACCTTTGTCTGCAAGGGGACAGTGCAGGCCTTTATCAGAGACCTCGAGCATGAGGCGGCGGTGTACAAGCGTCTGGAGCGGATCCAGGGCGTCAATGTGCCCATCTTCCTAGGGGCCGTCGATCTTCGGTCGCTCAAGAGCGTCTACTACTACGACCATCGGGTGTACATTGCGCACATGACATTCTTATCGTGGGGAGGAAACTACATCGATGAGCTTGAGATTCCAGCCGACATGCGAAGAACACTCGAGGGCAAGTTGCTCGGGTCTCTACGGGCGATTCACGAGGAAGGCGTGGTTCACGAGGACGTACGGAGTGCAAACACTCTGGTCAACAGGGAGACGGGCAGTGTGGTGCTGATTGACTTTGAGCGTGCCGTGCTGCTTGAAGCAGCGCGGCGACCGCTAGCACAGATGGTGCCTGACAAACGAGGGTGGGATTCGGGCCGGGTGGCGGACGGAGAGAAAAATGCTCAGCCAGGCAAGCAAGTTTCACGAGGTTGTGAGTTTGCGGAGGACGATCTGATGGCGAGGACAACGCTCTTGAACCTGCACAACTGTGCAAGTCCTTGAGGTGCGGGCATGAGATGCGAACATGAGGTGCGAACATGAAGTGCGATTGTAATGGTGAGCATCGGGTGCGGTGGCGTATGGGTCAGCAATGTATTACCGTGTCTTGCTTTATCCTCTTTCGCCTCAGTTATTCTAAACCTCGTATTGTGCCTTGCTGGAGAGACAGTTGGGCTCGCGTAAATTTCCTTTTCGAATTCGGCGGTCACCCCGCCAGCCTTTTTGTCCGGCCTCCACGCCACTTGTTTCTACTCAAAGGCAAGAGCTAGAAACGGCCTAACCTTGGCTTGGAAATAGTTACTCTCACATTCGTAGCATCGCTCGAGCGCCCTTCGGTCGGCTTGCTAAGCCCTCAGTCCATGGCTTCGATGCGGAGCGGGGAAACCAGGGACCCGGATGGGATTATCTACGTCGTCTCTTCTCCGGGGAAAGAGAAAACTGCGTTCGATCCATTGCCATTTTTTGGTTTTGATGGAAACCCTTGTCGAAGACCCCAACAACCCCGCTGCAGGGGTCGAGCAGGGCGGACATGAGCACACGCTACTCCGTAGACAGGTACCTAATTGCAGGCAGCTAATCAAGTCGTGGCGGGGGCACATAGGTATCGGACCTTCGGTTGCGCTTGATCGTCGGGCGGGTATGGGGATAGGCAACCCCAAGGGCGGGGAAGCGTTTATTTAGCTTGGAGGGTCACTGGCTGGTGTAGGAGGGGTAAGGCGCAAGCGTCTTGAAGGAAGACGTATACTATGCAGTAAGAAATCATGGTAAGGCGGTGAGGGGAGAAACTATCGACTCAGCCGCAAACGAATAATCGCCGTGGTATCTTGCCTTGGCTGAGAGGTGACACGAAAGGCTCCAGCAGTGGGTGTGTCGCTTGCCCCGCACACCCTGTGTCGCATATCACCGCTAGGTTCGTGCGACTGGATATGAGACGTGGCTCATACTTTGGGGTCATGTATCCGGTTTCACATCCGACTTATCGCATCAAGGATTCCAATCCTAACGATATGAGCTTAAATAGCTCTGCCCGAACACATGGCTGTTTAATTTCCTTTGTTCTTCAGATAATTCTCATCAATTGACTGGTGCCATCAATGATCCCTGTGGAGCCAATTGTCTGACACCCTGTCAGCATCAAGTCGTCGTAGGCAGGCCGGTCCGCCCCGTGCAGATCGCTTAGAGCCGACTAGGTAGATGGCCGCCTGTTATCTATTCGCCCTCAAGAAAAAAAACTTGCTGCTGCATTGCAGATGTTGGTTGTAACCGAGCTTCCCGTCTTACCTCACACGATACGAAGACCTATGAGTTGGTTGACTACCGGCAGCAGCCAAGGCAGATAAAACCGGCAAGGTGCGGTATTTTTCTTAACCAATATTGCCGGAAATGCAGAGGCCTATTGCTGCCTGGTGGCTAAACCTGCAGTAATACTAAAACAGTCATGTACTTTGCTATCCAAACTATGCGTTGCTTTAGTCGAGCTGAGGTGGCTTAGTAGGGGGTTGCGGGGCGCGTGATCGGCTATGCTGCGTTTGAGGGGGGGCCCAAGCGGTGGTCGGTGATCAAACAACCTTGTTTGTGTTGCTCAAGATGTGCATCCTAATAAGACACTGGATCCGGGAGGGGAGATCATTCTGTCGTTATTATAGCCTGATAGCTCTTGGTGTTGTGGATCATTACTATGGATCACTCTCTGTGGTACGGGGTAAGGAGGCCCGACGGCAAGTGGGACTCAGATCAACCACAACAGCGTGTTCGCGATTACTCCATTAAACGGGTAGAGCTCAGAGATGAGGAATCCTTGATGCGACAAGCTGGATGTGAAACTGGATACACGACCCCAAAGTGTGGGCCGCGTTTCATATCCAGTCGCACGCACCTAGTGGTGATATGCGACAATGCAGAGTACCTCCGGAAATTAACCTCCAAGCAGGCCTCTCGAAGAAGTGAATGGGCACGCCACGAGCAAAATGCCGAATGGGAAAACTAGGGTTTTGCCAGTAGCCAAGGTGCGTGGCTTAGTGTAGCTTTAGGTTGTCTGAAGTGTCACCTTCCCAAAAGAAATAAACTCAGCATTATATCACACTCACGTCATTGAAATGACCTTTGCCTTCGAGGCTTTCCGAGCTTGCCGATAGCCTTTGTGTGAGTCGCTGACCCCTGGGTTAAAATAAGTAGAACCTTTAGCTATAACAGACCCGGTGTTCGTAATTCTCCTCCGGGTCCCTTTGTCAATGCCTCTATATGTCGGAGTGCCCCTTCTATCACCCTTCTACCTATAGCGACGGGCTTTTATTATCCAGTTCCTAGCATACTCCAGCTCTTACCCAGCACTCACAAATATGTCTATCGACCAAGTTAACAAGCAAGGAGAGGTCGCACCCCGCCTTCGGGATGGCGAACCAGACAGTATGGGCAAAAACATGGGCAGCAGGCCAGAGCACTCGTCAGAAATTTGCGTTTTCTCTTGAAGACCGTTAGCTGACAAGGTAGTAGACCTTACGCCAGCCAAGTCTGTGCGGTATACTTTCAAGGGAATGGACCCCTCCATATCCCTCATGCACTCCTACACCAGACCGCCGAGCTTGCTTCCCGAGACGTCGCAACAGGCTGTTGCTCTTCGTCATTCCATGAGCTTCACTTGAACGACATCGCCTACGACACCGGCCATGTCCTTATCCACTTTCTGGTCACCGGCAGATACCAATGCCTGAAGCCACAGGGAGATACTAGTACCAAGACGTATACACCCGAGTTTACAACTGCGCTTCGCGTGTACGCCGCAGCTCAATCATTTCAATTGCCCTCTCTTCGTGATCTGGCAAGAAGAGAGATGATCGATCTTGGCGACAGGTCGAGCTTACCTTCCTTGATTAATATCATGGAAGAGTCAAGCCTGTTAATGAGCACTCTGCCGGGAATAGCCGCGTATGTTGAGTCGCGCATTCTTGCTTTTGCGGAGAATATTACCCGTCCAACTTCAGAAAAGGTACTCGCTGAGATCGGAACTCCCAATACGCTCAGCATGGTACTCTTGAAGACTATTCTGTTGCTCCAAACTTCAGAACTATCTCCACGCGATGAATCACTTCGGAAGGAGGAACTGGTAGAGATTCTCCGAGGCCTCACCGATACCGGACCGATAGCAAAAGGCAAGGCCTCGGATGTGGACCGAGCTATGAAGGAGGCCGAGGAGCAAGCAGCTAATAGGGCCGAAGAAAAAGCTTCTAAGGAAGCGGAAAAGGCTGCAGCTGCCGCTGTCGCCGTGGCGCAAAGAATTGTTGAAGCTCAGGCTGCTGAGGCTGAAGCGGCCCGTGAAGAGGAGGATATTGCTTTATTATTAGAAAAAAGGAGAAGAAGGAAGGGCAGGCTTCTCAAAAAGGATCAAGAGAGGCTTTCCACACTCGAGCATAATGCCGCAAAGAGAGCTCAAGCTCGAGCTGCTCGTGAAATTGCAGAAGCAGAGACTGCGCACGCATTCAGTGCCCCCGCTGAGGACAAGGTCGGTCTGTCTGAGCCATCATTTACATTTCCCACACCAGATGGTGAGCAGCATGGCATTCGACCACATCAAACTCAGCCAGCCAGCTAATAGTGGAGATCATCACAGATGACTACCCCTCAGTGAGGTCGTCTGCTGACAGGGATATTTCGGATATCGACCAGCCCCAAGCCGAAGGAGGCGATGAGAGCTTTCCGGAGCCGGTATTCTCGAAAAGCTCTTCATCTAATGACAACGACTGGCGATATATTCGATTTTCTCCATCGTCAGCCTCTGACGACTTCGAGCTGACAGGATAAGTCTCAGGTTATGCAGCTTCTCATAAGGGAAGAACTAGGGATGTTGATATGAGAATTTACATGTTGCTGAATGGAAATTCCTAGTGATTGCTTACAATGTTAATTCTTGCAGAACTTTAGTGCTACATACCTACCAAAATCAACTTTAGTAGAGCTGATTTATTTTGCCCCACTTCACAGGGGGCAGAGTTAATATTTACCAGGGGTAGAGTTCATTTAAGCAAGGGGGTAGAGTTAAATTTATGATTAGCCATAAACCTTGCCATCCATCCAATTGAGGCACGTCATACGCGAGGAGCGCTAGTACGCGTCGCGTAAGGCTCGTTATAATTAGCATTTAGGGGGGGGGGGCAACCGCAATCGGAAAGAAGTTAGAATTTTTAACTATGGCACTTCAACTTTTCGATCACCACACTGCGCCACGACGATGAGTTCTATCATAGAACGAAACTCGTCTAGTGCCATCTACCCGTTCATTTTACTTCTTAAATACAAACTCCTTATGTGCTAGTTATGCTAGTTTGGGTATATTGTAGATAAAGTTACCACGCACTTACGAACACGACATCACGACATAGACCCGGAAAGACGGCATAAGCTAGTGGAAACCATACAAAAATTGCCATATGCATTACGAAATCAGTCTCAGCTAGATCAGCTACAGTATCCACCACAGACAATCGAGCCCATTGCTTATCTCGGCGCACCGAAGCCGGATGGACCAATGACATGATGGCGGGGCTTGAGCCCATGTTTGAAGGATAGAAAGAGTATTAGACAATTGGCTCCACAGGGATCATTAATAGCACCAGTCAATTAATAAGAATTATCTAAGGAGCAATTATACTATACAAAAGAGAAAGACATTATTATCTTATATAGAAGACGGAAATTTATATAGAACGGAAATTCCGAGTGGAATTCCGGAAATAATCTGGTGGGCTATGCCGTGTGTGCGATAGGCTGATATGCGACACCGTTTGGATGGGCGCCGAGGGCGCCGTATACGGTACTCCTGCAGTTTGAGTGTGGTGGATCTGTCACGTAGGAATGACTCCGTCCAGCGTACTATGTTCTGGCAGACCCTTATCAATCAGTACTGCTTGTTAAGAAGTCTGTTACGATGAGGTCATAGTCGAGACACTAAGTACGACTAATGCGACCGACCTAGATGGCGTCGGGCCAACGGGCAAGGACCCTAAAGGGCGGCTAGCCTAGGTATGGCGCCGCCTTGCTCGCTTTAAAGAGGATAAGGTTTATTTGCCTTAAGAATATAGGCAGATATCGAGGGGCATTAGAGCCGCCTCATTAGAGTATTTATAGGCGGTAGGCAAGGCACTAGCCTTAGGTATATCGCAGAAGAGCGGCTTACCTTCGAACTACTAGGCATTTATCTAGATATCGATTAATAACGGATAGAAAAAGCTTAATAAATATAACGCTAAACTCAGAGAATCTCCTTTATTTATTGCGGTAGTCGTTCTGCATCCGAGGTTTAGAATTAGCTAGCTAGAGGCTACTTAGGTCTCGAAGGAGTAATTAACGTAGGTTTAAGATACAAAGATAGGCATAAAGGAGTACTTTAACCACTAGTATAACTTAAGGCAAGGGGGAAATAAAGAGAAACCGCACTACGCGATACTACTAAGGACAATAGGCTAGGAGGATAATTACTATAGCGAATAGATTAATAGCAAGATAAAGAAAGCATTTATAATAGAGAATAGTTTTAGCGAGCTCGATAGATACCTCTATATCGAACCGCAAGATACATAGGATCTAATCTAGTAGTAGAGAGATTATATAGCTTCTTTTCTATTAGTAAGCCGCTTTGCGCTAGACATATTAGTAATTCTAGCTATAGCTAGTGGTTATAAGAGATAATTTAGTCTTACAAAACTAACTCTAACGTCGCAGAGGCTTTCTATGGGTTTAGGTATACTAGAATAGGTTTAATGCCTAAAGAACTAGGTTAGATATAGTAGGGTAGAGCTAGGTAGCTAGGTGACTAGGTAAAGGTAAAGATATAGTGATATGCTAAGCGTATAAGAAGCACGACCCACAAAGTTAACTAATATATATATTATTGAACCCGTATGCAGTTAATTGCTTGATTGTGTTCTGTTTGACTGATTCTTGCCCCTCTTTTGGGCTAATGCCTTGCGCTATTCCTATTTGAGATATGCTACGTCACGTGACACTCCCTCTTCTGGTTCTGAGGCTCATTTGGTCAAAACGCATTGCGGACTACCCTGCACACTCTCGTGTATACATGACCGCTTCGGTTCAACATATATGTATAGCGAGTGGATCAGATAAGCGAGTGTGGATTAGCATACTGTGCACCTAAAAATCATAAATTATAAATTTCTAAAAACTTCTATAAAATAGATATAGATCTAAAAAGAGTATTTTTATAAATCTTGCTAAAAAAGTCATAAGCTTATAATTTTTCTAGATTTTTAAAAAATGTCCTTAATTTTTGAAAAATAAAAAACTATAAAAAAATAGTGTGAATAAGAAATTCTTTAATAACTTATTAATAAGTTTTTTTTTAAAAATCTAAAAGAATTACTAAGATAATTTAGATTTTTTAATAAACTTTACTTTATATTCTTAGCCTATAAGGATTTTAATTAGATTATTTAGAAATTTTTAAACTTATTTTAGATTTAGGTAAGATTTATACTAACGTATATAATAAGCGAGTGTTATAAACAAGTGAGTATTACACTTTGAAATTTCTTAGTATTTACACCTTAAGATTTAACTTAATTAAAAAATTCTAAGAAATTTAAATTAAGCGTAAATATGCTAAAAATAAGAAAAAGAGCCTATCTTATAGCAAAAAAGCTATATGAAATTTCTTATATTTTTAGAAAAATCCTTACTAAGCTAGTTTAAGAAAAAACATATTCATACTATATAATAAGCTGTTTTTCTTAAAAGGCAATTTCTTAAAATTTTAAAAGAAATACTATGTAGTTTCATCTGAAGTTAAATAGCTATAAAACCTGTTTTTAGATTTTTAAAAATTATATAGCTAGTTTTAGAAAATTGGAGTTTAGCTGTTTTAACTTACATAGTATAGTATAATACTCACTTATTTATAACACTCGCTTATTATATATATTATATAGTAAAAGTAATCTACTCGCTTATCTGATCTACTTGCTATATATATACGTTATATATTCCTTTACCTTTTCTATTTAATCTATATATTCCTCGGGGAGTAGTATTAAATCGCATTAAATTTTTCGCTATAACTATTAACTACTCGAAATGGGATAACCTAGATATAGATTTAGAATTAGAAATATCCCCTCTATTAGTCCTTACCCCCCGAGCTCCTATACTAATAGCCTTATAATTAGGTATATTAGCCGTAGTAGCGCTAATTATAAGTAGTACCCTAAGATCTATCTAAGCTATTATTATCCGGTGCGATATTAAGAGAACTAGATTCGCGCCTTAGTCTATGATAATAATCGAGGCGGATTACCTTATCTTCTCGAATTTTATGCCTCTTATCCGAAGACTTATCGAGGTTTTATTAGTCTTCTACCGGGTTAGTACTTATTCTATAAACCGGGCCGATCTCGATAATTAAATAGTTATATATCTTAATATCGATTATAAATCCGGGTTTATGCCCCTAAGCTAGAAGTCCTATGTTAGCATGGTGCTAGTAGCGCGGAAGGACGAGAAGCTATTGCGACCGTAGTATCTAGAAGGCGTATAGATATATTGCGATTATATTTTAGATCTCTTTAGAGAAAGAGAAGGTATACCGGTATATATATATAATAGATAAGTATTTAAGGAGTAATAGAAAGATTACTATAAAGAGTAGAAGAAATTATAGCCAGGAACTAGAGGTAATAATAATCCAGATAATTAGTAAGTAATAAGGTCGCCTTATAAGATATAAGGCCTTCTAGATTTAAAATAAGACTTAATTTTATATCCCGCGTTATCCTATATAGGGATTTATAGAAATAATTATCTTATTTTTACTATTAGATCTATTAACCTCTATATAGCATTAATTATACTTTAGTCTAGCTTATTCCTAATAAAATCCTATAGTTATATAGGACTAAGAAGCTTAATTCCTTATAGTATTCTATACCTAGATAATTATATATAGAGGCTAATAAAGTTATATTTAGAAGGCTAATTATTTATTATATAGCTTCCTTATAGCTCTAAGAGTATATCTATAAAAGTTTTACCTTATATTTTATAGTTAATAAAGATAAATATAGGAATAATAAATAACCCTCGCCGCGAGTATTTTCCTAATAGGAACCTATAATAGGAATTAGCCGGATCGAGGGTATATATAATAGGCCAGATAAGTATAATACTAGTTAAGAGGGCTAGGATTACTAAATCTTTTATCTCTTATGACTTTAATAATATGCCTAATAGCGGATTAAAATAAATAATAATATCTTCCATAAAGTAATAGCCCGGGAATTTAGGATTAAGAATAATATCCATAGCAATAAACTTAGCCCTATTTATAACTTTTAAGCTAATATATATATTTTTATTAATTACTATAGGTATCCCCTAGGCATAGAGGAAAACCCTAGAGATCTTATAATTAGAATTATTGCCTTATTTAATAATCTAGGCTACCTCCTATTAGGATAAGTCTTAATTACGCTAGGCATAGCTCGAGACGAAAAGTAAGATATATCTCCTATAAAAGCGGGCCTAGTCTATTATAGCTTCTATATTAAGGTTTTATTAGTTATAGTTAAGTAGTATTATAGCGCGTAAGCTATCTTTAAAGGTAATTTAAGAGTAGTTTATAAGTTTAATATTAAGTAAGTTAAGGTCCTCTATAGTCTAGGTTCTAGCCTATATTCTATCTAGAAGGGCGCCTAGCTAAAGATTATCTCGCGCATAGACTTACTCTTTAAGGAGGATAATAGTCTTAAATAATAGCTATAGACTATAGCTATGATAATAAGTAATAATCGCTTATCCTAAGGACGCAGTATAAGCGAGATCTATTATCCGGTCTACTAGGAGACTTATCTCGAGCATAGGGGCGAACTAATAGAAATCACTTATTAAGAGAATAACGGGAATACCTCTAAATAGCTTATTAAAATAGTTATAAAGGGCCTAGAGGTAATAGCTAGTATTAAATAGAGTGGCTCCCCTGAGTATACTTATTTCGTCGACTACGAGGACTAGTTTCTACTTCTATATCTATTTTTTTACTTCTAAGAATATTAGAGGCTTTTATTTATTATAAGAACGGTAGGTATCTAGTCCTAAGGCTAAGTAGAGTATTATGCCTCTGATCTAGGCGGTAGCACTGCCTAATATATCGGTAACCTAGAGGTAATATAGCTAACCTCTAGCTATAAAGATATCCCGCAGGGCATCGACGATCCTAGACTTCCTAGTACCGCCTAGACCTCCGACGTACTAAAGATATTAGCTAGCCGAGTTAGGATTAGTAATATACTTATCTAAGAACCGGCATATAAGTTAAAGTGCTATGCTCTATAGATAATTAAGTATATAGCTAGACGTAATAAGAAGCCCTAGCTCTATGAACCCTCTAGTAAGACCTATATTAATAAATATTCGAGGATTTTATATAATTAAATCTTCTAGTTATCTCGGAATAAGAACTTCTATATTATACTACTAAATAAGCAAATCATCGATATTAGTATTACTAATAGAGGTTATATTACCTTAGATACCGCCCTCTATCTTATCGAGTATCTAGAGATATAGTATATCTTAGGCCTTTATCATAGCTTAAAGATCTTATATAGAAGGAATAGGATACTAAGATAATAGACTACTCTAGTTATAGCGGATTTACTAGTAAAAATTATTGTAATATTAGATAAAAGGCTAGTCCGCTTCTACTAGGTTCTCCTAGCAAAGGTCTTAGATTAGGCTTTATAAGACTAGCGAGTCCCTCGTTATATCTAAGTCTCATATAGCATTTCGAAGGGCCTAGAGGAGAGCTATATAGTTTTAGTGATACTCTGCTAGGGTTAGTTCTCCCGTGGCGGGCTCGTCGTCATAATCGCCTTCATCCAGAGGGAAGTCTATATCCACTATGTCGTCGCCTTCCGACCGGCTGGCCCAGAGCTTTACATCCCTGCGAGCATCCTCAGCCGATTTTCTGAGGAGGGAGATATTGGAGACACAATAATTCTTTCCATCTTTAACACTCACCCATCTTTCACACGCACATTTTTACCCTTTGCTGTCTTGAACAACGCGCCTGCGCCGTCTCCCGCCGTACTCGCAATGGCCACCGCCCCAACCATCAGCATTGGTGATGGCAACTCCAGCCTAGACCTGCCTCCCTCCATTGCCACTATGAACAACACAAGTCCAATTCTAGACACTCAGGCAGTGCCTAAGCCGACAGTCATTGGGATTTATGGGATTTCTAGCTCGGGCAAGTCATTCCTACTGAAATACCTGTAGTAGGAACTCAGTCCGGCCGAGTTCGCCTTATTCGAAGGGTCGGATAAGATTGCCTCCCTCGTCCCTAGCGGTCTAGAGGCTTTTCACAAACTAGATAAGAAGTATAAGTCTAATCTACGTGGCTAAGCGATTAAGGCAATCAGAAAAGAGAGCTATGACAGCGGGCGGGTAGCGATTATAACTAGATACTTCATATTTTAGGAGTAAGAGGATACTACCGGCCAACCGGTATATACCTTAAATAACCTAGCTATATTTACCTATATCATCTATTTAAATATCCCCACCGATATTATCTCGCAGCGCCGCCTAGATAATAGGCTACAGGACCATACTATTATATCTTAGGAATATCTAGGCAGGTAGTAAGAGGCAAAAGTATCTATGATGCGCGACCTCTATCGCGAGTATTATATCCTATTCTCTCCCGTCTTAAGCTAGGATACTTTACTCCCGAGAGTTTTAGATTTAATCCTATATTTTCAATAGCCTATTACCGCTAAGTCTAATTTGGCTTACGTATGGGCTAAGCTTAATAGAATTCTTACTCTTCCCGACCGAGATAATCTAGAGACGGTCTTAGTAATAGATAGTAATAAGACTCTAGCGGCAGAGGATACTAGTACATTATTCTGGGAAATAATTACTCAGACTCGACCGAGCCTAGGGAAAAAATCTCCGCTTTAGGAGCTCTTCGGTAGTCCCCTAGGTTACTCGGATACTATATTCCATTAAGCAACCTTACTGCACGAAGAGGCGACCGACGATGAATAATTCGAGACTATATGCGATACTATAGCTTCGTTAGTGGTAATACACCCGGATATTATCTCCCTCTTGCGACTTATTATAGAGCATAGGCATATAGGTGCCTTAGTCGTCATATGTGGTCTTAGTCGCGTATGGGAAAAGGTTTTGCAGAGATATAGACTATTAAAGACAGTCAGTATAATCGGTAGAGGCAGAATCTTAGATAGATTCGTTATCACCGCAGCTATTAAGGCTACTATTGTCTCCTAACTCCGAAACGACGCCCACTTATATGTCTAGGCCTTTGGGGATAATCCCTTAGATTTGCCGATACTTAAGCGGGCTAACTAAGCCATTATGGTTATCAGCGATAAGCGAACTAGGAGCTCGAGCATAGATAAAGCCTTATATAAGGCGATTTATATTAAAAACTTCTAGGCGCGATAAGCCTTACTCCCGAGCTAGTTACTACCACGTCTTAATAAAGAAAAACTGCCCTTAGTCCGCCTCGATGACGAGGAATTCATCGAGTCGATCATGCGCCACCGCCACCCTATCGAGATACTATACGCCATAGATAAGACTACGGCAAAGCTATTAACCTCCCTAACCCGCGACGCATCGGTTACTAGCCTTATCCTACGAGATGCTTATGCCCGTATTAGGCGGTACTTAGCCGCCGAATTTATTTCCTAACTAATTAGGCTCGAAGAGTTCGCCATACCATACGTGCAAGGTCATTAAACGGCCGGTCACCGACTGCGCAGCGAATAGCAAACCACCATCGCGGCATTAATGCGAGGTAGAGAACCCATGGCTTTGGGGGTTAATGCAGTGTTCCCAAAGGCAAGGTTCATCCATGCCGCCTCCGTGGGGGACATAAAAAGGCATCATGTGGATGGCCAGTGCACTATGCTTCTAGTAGACTCGGTGGTGAACAGCGGAAAGACCCTGATGCAATTTATCGATCACGTCCGTGGTCTAAATGCCAATATCCGCATTGTCGTCGTGGCTGGTGTTGTCCAGGCGGAGGTGGTCGTGGAGACACATCCGCTCGCCAAGCTCATGGGGCGTCATGGCGCCAGTCTCGTCGCACTCAGGCTCTCCGAGAACAAGTTCACAGGCACCAAAGGTACCGACACTGGCAATCGACTCTTCAACACCACGCATCTGGCTTGACCATGGAGCTGCTATGCAAGGGGCTTGGAGGAATCATGATGTGCTGTACACCTCACTTGAACATGCATTGCTTGGGAGATACGCATTTCCCTGTACAATTGACTTAGTTGCACACGTGCCTTGAGGAACGAAAGGTCTTTATGCCCCACCCCGCTTGCCTTGAGGAACGAAAGGTCTTATGCCCCACCCCGTTTACCTCTGGCCCCAAATAACGTGACGACGCGTCGACTTCGTGTTATTACCTCTGTATCTGTAAAGCTCAGGCCACTTGTGTGGGTCCTCGATCAGATAACTAACGTGGCTTTGGTAAATAAACTTCGTTCAGTTTCAACCCAATAAAAATCGCGTCGGACCCCATGCGTCAGATTCTGAAACCTCAATGTTACAGATTTACCGGTCTTGATTCATGCGCTTAGTTCTGTTCGGACCAGTCCCAGCACTCCGCATCCCTAATCGTCTTGTTGCTCAGCTTTTCCAGCCTTTCCTCTGCCGCAACCATGCTCTCTGGCACCCTGTTGCCCACGAAATCTCTCTCCCGCACCTTGGACAGAAGCGTGATGCCCTCTATGGTTCTGCACCGCGATAGTTGCACGTACAAGCTATAAGGATCGCACTGCGCTGGAACAGCCTCGCCGTCGATGTTCGTCGTCCTCGTGCCCCGGAGTTCGAGGGCCACCCGGTCCAATGTCTTGCTTTGCACCTTGTAATCCGTGCAGGCAAAAGCCGCTGCGCATGGCAATCCCCGCCGGCTGATATTCTTTCTTTGCTACGGGCGCTTCTTCTGGCATTCTATCATGGTACTGACCGGCGTTAGGAGGATGGTGCCGGCCGGCATTCCTACGAAGTGGAAGTCTGTTGTCGTCCCCGACGCCAGCACGAGGCCCGCCGGCGGGCCGAAATGCAGTAGGGTCTCCTCGTTGACCCGATGGCCCGGGTATGCCTTGTCGACGATGACGTCCAAGGCCGTATAGCTGGCCCCGTTGACCAGCTTCAGGCCTTGGTGCGTATTCTTGTTTACGACGACGGGCATACCCGGAACGAACATGAAAATGGCAGGCACCGGGACGGCGCTGTCGTCACCTTGGCTCAGCATCATGACGGCTTCCTCCTCCGTCGGCTCGCCGTCTTTCCATCTGTGCTCGGATACGAAGATACGCAGCCGGGATTGCTGCGCCTTCTGGAAACACAGTGATGCCTCGACGTTTAGGTTCCAGCGGTTCCTGTTCAGCGGCGTCACCACGGTGAGCCCCGACTCCCACGGGATCCGTCTGTTCTCCCCGTAGCAGGTGCGATTCAGCATGTCCATGTCCGACCGGTCCTGCACCCCATGGCGCACCCGCGTTAGCAGTCTCCGCAGCTGTGGATCGCTGGCGGCGCGGACCTGCTCATCCAGCATGACGACCGTGGTGAACTTGTTCCACAGGGCGTGCGCCCTATCGTGCTGGTACCTTTGCTCCGCCTTGAACGATTTTTCTTCATCCCACAAAATGGCCGTGCTCGGGAGGAGGATCGACCTCTCCTGCACAGGGCGGAATTGGTGGAAATCTCCGCAGAAGAGGACGATGGGGATGCCGCCGAAGTCCTGCGCGCGCCCTCGAAGCTTGCGCAGCTGTTCATTCACAACGTACAGGGTCCGCGCGCCAAGCATGCTGACCTCGTCGATGATCAGCAGCCATTTCTCCTGCCACTGCGCCGTGCTTCGTCCGTCAACTCGGAGACTCGCCGAGCTGGACGCTGCAAACCCATCGACGTCCGAGCCCCGACCTCCTCGCGGGGCTGTATCTTTGGAGAATCCACAGGCGGAATGGATGGTGATCCCGTCGATGTTTGCGGCTGCTGTTCCCGAGGTCGCCGTTACTAGCAGACGGTGCGATATCCCCTTGCTTGCGAATAGCTCGTTGATGGTCGCGATGGCGCGCGACTTCCCGGTGCCGCCTTCGCCTCCGACAAATTGGCAGAGCTGTGGGGTTCCGCTCTCGTCCCGGCGTATACGGTCTAGTTGGCGACATAGTAGCCGGAGGGCGATGTCCTGTTTTCGGTTGAGTGTGAATGACTTGGACAGTTGCCTCCCCGCCTCAGAAAACGACGTGGACGGGCCGAACTGGATAGTCGTCGCTGGCCCCACGCACCGGCCTAGGGCTTCCGGATCGGTAGCCGTGAGACGGACTTCGTGGCCTCCGAAACCATTCAGCACGTTGTACACAGCTGACTCGCGCTCAGCTGTGTTGCTGTCGGGCTGGCTCTGTATTCCCTGGATCATCTTCTCCTTCTCTCTAGAGGCGCTCATTTGCTGCGTTGCCTCCGAGACTCTTCGAATATTCGCAACCAGGTCGTAAAACTCCTGCTCGACCTTAACGGGCTCCTCAACGACGCCATCGCCATTATCACTAGGGAGGAATCCCCTTAGGACTAGATTAGTAGTAACGGGGGTATTTTCTTAGATCAAGATGCCGAAGATAGTAGCTCGCCTGATATAGAGCTCGAGCAAATTTCTATAGACGTTATAGACGTCATTAACTATCTTCTGAGCCTAAGTATAGCCATCCGAAATCCCACACCTCACGATCGCTTCGTCGAATCACATTCGATAGATATATCCTAGTACGAACCATTCGATATTAAATATATCTATTCGAAGTTTAAACCGATTAATCCAGGTCTAGCAGAAAGACTAGGCAAGGCGATTAATCGACGACGCCAATTCTTCAAGTACAGAGAGGCTCATCGCCTAAAACTATCATATAGCCTTAACTATTACTATCTTAGAGATGCCGAGACAATTACATTATCACTACCGGAGCACCTTAAGGATAAGAGTAGAACTAGCTAGATTTCCCGGTTGCCTATTCTTAAAGATAACTATTCCGACGCTAGAGTCTCTTAGACCTCGTATGCAACGTCTACAGCAGATACTAAGCAACGACACGTCCCGCCACTGCCGATAGAAGCCTCTAAAGGTCCTTTTAAGTGTCCTTTTTGCTTCACTATCATTGCTGTAACAGATAGATCCACCTGGAAGTAAGTTAATAGGACGTCTTTGGGCTAGGTAGTCTAAGCTAACCGACCGCAGGAAGCACGTCTATGGAGATCTCTGGCCATATATCTGCCTAGATAAAGATTATATGAACCTAGAGAAGGAGTTTTCCCGGCAGCACCAATAGATAGACCACAGTAAGTAAAATCACTAGAAGGTATATCTATATCCATTTTCCTACCACCTAGCCTTTCCTTCGGACTCAGAGTGCATAAGATATATGTCCCAGAGCCACGCAGGAGCAGGCATACCAGGGTTAGAACAGAGTAACTATTAACTATCTAAGCTATTTTGCCCTAGGGGTTTCTTCTAGCTAAGATATAGCTTATAGATAAAAGAGAGGAGATTTTTCTAAGAAATAATAGAAGAAAAAGCATAAGAGATATAACTAGGAAAGAGGTATAGCTAAGAAAGAGAAATAGCTAGGGGAGGGATATAGCTAGGGGAGAGGTATAGCTAAGAAAGAGATATAACTAGGAAAGAGGTATAGCTAGTAAGAAAAAGGCAAAGAGATAAGAGATAAGAGATAAGAGGTAAAAGGTAAAGAAAAGCCTTAAGAAGCCCTAGAAGTATTCCAGATCGACCTAGCTAGGTTACTAGGGGTATCTCGGGCTATAGAAGCCGCCGAGGTCGCCCTAGTCCTCATCAGGGCAAGGCTAATAGAGGAGTCTAGCTGGTTAGCCGCAAGGGGGCCAATAAGGTCCTGGAGCTTCTGATAGGTCTTAGCTGTCTCTAGGTCCATAAGGCCACCTGCTGAGAAGATGAGAGGCTGAAAAAAGGCCCCGAGAGACCTATATTTTCTGCGTTTTTCTTCGGCAGCCTCTCTAAGGGTACTATAAGGGTCTTCTTTAGCAGAATCCTTTGAAATAGCTACGATTTGAATATCATAGTAATAGCGGCTATTTCCTAGGTTAACTGCAAAGTCGGCCCTTAGGCTAGCTTCTGGGTGGACTAGGGGTTCTTTTTCGACCTCTAGGGTAGGCTGGCTACTTAGGGCCCTTATAAAGGCCCTAGTTATAGCGTCATGCCTTGCAATCCACCTTCTATTAGCACCCTTGCAGGTATCCTGATGGCCTAAGGCAGCTATAGCTCCGCAAGAGCTACAGGGTAGGCTGATAGGCTTGATTGGGTAAAAGAGCCGGCTTCGGAGGGCTTCAGTGACCTCGGAGTCTGTGAAAGATAGGGCTTTTTGGGTAGGTAAGACTCCGAGCCACTTACGGCCGAGATAGCTAGCATTTTCTAGCCTAGCATGCCTATAGCTAGCGGGGAGGTCCTCTAAGAAGCCTACTAGCCTAGCCTTATTAGCTTCTTTTAGCACCTGTTGGGCTGTTTTCCCTAGTCTAGGCTGGCCTTGGTTAGGCTGGCTTTGGTCTAGGGTAGGCTGGGCTAGGGGCTTCCGGATGAGGTCTAGGGTAGGCTGCGAGGCCTCCCTAGCTGCTAGGAATAGCTCGTGGGCTAGGTCCTTGTGTAAGGGTATTCCTAGGCCTCCCTCTCTAGCTGGAAGGGCTATAAGGCTTGAATTAGGCTCCTTAGGGCACTCACTAGGGCTTCTAGCCACTAGGGCTATAATAGCCTCTCTTATAAGGGTATCAGCCTCTTCCCAAAGGTCTTCTAGCCCGGTTGGGTCTAGCTGCCTCTGGAGGTGCCTTAGAAGAAGCTGGATACTGCCTCTAAGAAGAAGCAAAGAGTGCTGCTTAGGAAGGTCTTGCAGGGCCTCTAGGGCTTCCTGTAGGGTAGCTAGCTTTTCTTGCAAGAAGGTTCTTCTAGGCCGGATAGGGCCTATATAAGTACCTAAGGCTTTTAAGCCTTCTAGCTTAAGGTCCTCTATAGCCTTTTCCTTGCTTTTAGCTAGGTTAAGGCTAAAAGGGGAGCCTTTTAAGACCTCCTTAGCTGCCTCTAGGGTGCCTTGCGGAGCCTTATTAAGTATATAGAGGTCATCTAGGTAAGCTACTAAGGTTGCCCTAGGTAGCTTCCTAGCTAGGGCCTCTAGGGTAGGTCGAAAGGCAAGGGAAAAAAGAAGAGGTCCAAGAGGGTCACCTTGCCTTACGCCCTTGGCCGAGGCTATAGCTAACCCATCTTCCATAACTAAGATAGAAGGGTCATTATAGGCCCAAGCTGCTGCCTTATAGAAGGTAGGGGCAAAAGTAGCTACAGAAGCAGCTATAGAAGCCCTATCTACTGAGTTAAAGGCATTAGCAAGATCTATAGAGGCTAGCTGCTGGAAATTAGCCTCATTTGAGCCTATAATAGCCTCATAGAGGAGGAAAATAGCGGGTTCAACCCCGCCTGGGCTATTCACGCCTAGCTGGAAGGGTAAGAGCATATTCGGCCGATAGGAGGTCATTAGGATCGCCTTCATAGCTACCCTATAGATAAGATCTCCTATAGCTATAGGTCTAACCCCTCCATCGGGCTTTTCAAGCCCTATAAGGCGGCTAGCGCATAATAGGTGGGCTCCAGGGGCCGTGCCTTGGCGAATCATATCAGCTAGCAGCCTTAGGAAAGCTATCACAGGGGAATCTTTCCTAGTTACTAGGTCTAGAAGAGGCCTAGTCCAGCCACTAAGGCCCGGGGCCTTTTCCTTGCCTATAGAGGCTATAGCTGCTATAATAGTCTCTGACGTGATTGGTTGGCCGGCCCTTGGGCGGGTCTTGCCTTGGAAGGGGTCTTTTGATCCAATAGGGTGCTTTTCTAGCAGCCTAGCCCTATTTTCTACTGAATTAGGTGCTATAGGGGTCGGATCAATAAGAGCCCTAGCAGCCCGGCCTAGGTAGCCTCTCTCTAGTAGCTTAGTTGCCCTTTGGGCCGGGCTAGGAGCTATAGAGGGTCTAGCTGCCTTGGGGGGCTCGGGGGGCTGCTGGAGAGATTCTAGGCTCTCTAGGGTAGGTAGGTTAGAAGGGAAGGACCTAAGGAGGCTAGCTAGGCCTCCTTTCTGTAACCCTAACCCTAGTAGCCTAGGCAAGATAAGGAAATATAAGAGGGCCTTTTCAGTAGGCCTCTTTAGAAAGGTAGCTGCAGCTTTATGGGCTGTAGCTGTGAAAATAGCAGCCTGCCTTGCATGTAGCCTTTTTTCCGGTATAGGGATCCTTGCAAAGGCTAATAGCTTCTGCATAGAAGCCTTGGCTAGGATTGGGGCTATAGCTTGGTTGTGTAGCTGCTCTAGGGTAGGCCCCTCTAGGGTAGGCTCCTTGGGCTCGGGCTCTAGGGTAAGCTCCCTAGGCTCGGGCTCTAAGGTAAGCTCCCTAGGCTCGGGCTCTAAGGTAAGCTCCCTGGGCTCCCTAGGCTCCCTAGTCTCTAGCTCTAGGGTAGGCTCCTCTAGGGGCCCTAGAGGCTCTAGGGTATATTCTTCTAGAGGCTCTAGGGTAGGTCCCTGACTAGAGGGCCTGTGGCTAGGCGTGCTAGGGCAAGAGGAGCTAGAGCTAAGGGACCTAGGGCTAGAGGGTCTTCCCCTTTCCTCATAGCTAGAAAAAGACCTATAGCTTTCCCTTGAGGCCGGTCGGTCTAGGGTAGGCTCCTCTAGGGTAGAGTTAGGCTGTAGCTGCCTTTGCCGCCTAGTAGGTCTTTGTAGCTGTGGAGAAGGGGTCCTTGCTAGTCTCTTTCTTCCTATAAGGCCTCTATAGCTAACTAAGCCCGGGCTAGCCTGATTAGGACTA